CCACAAGAGCTCCCTGGGTGTATCTGCTGGGCCAGGGCCAGCTGGAAACATCTCCAGAAGGTTGGTGCCAACCCTTGACTTGCTGCGCCCGTGCACAGTGCCCAAGATAAATCCCCCCTTTCTGCTGGAAGGGATATAAAACGCTCACACACCCCCCCCCTACATCGACACGCAGCATCCCCTGAAGTCTCGTGCTGTATCGGGCTCGCAGCCCCGCGTTGCAGCTCATTTCCTCCGAGCTAATTCGGTGGGCAAGGGGTCGAGGTGCACCAGCGGTCGCTCTTCTGGGCTGAGGTTCCTCGCGGCAGGTCAAGCAGGTGGTGTGACCCAAGGCTGTGAAAAAGGCAGAGTCAGAGCATGCCCTCCAGCGATGCGAATCCTCGAGGTTTTAGACCTTTGTGTGTGTCCCACCGCGTTCATGAAGGGGAAAGGGTCCAGAGAAAGGGAAACCTGTGAAAGTTTGAAAGGCCAGAATGGAAGAAAACAGCTTAATTTTCAGTAGGTAAGAAGATATCACTGAATCGTTTCTCATCCAGAGTGTCAACATAGGCAAGAAAATGTGTCCTGGGTCGTCTTCTTCAGCATCAGACCGTGAAAATAGATATTTTCTGAAAGCAATCGCATATGAAGACGAAAAAAAAAAAAAAAATCTAAGTGGCCGTGCTTTACTTCTGCCATGCAGCTGCACAGCGGATCAGGGTGGAAATTGGTGAGTCACGATTTCCAGATCTTACTTTCCTCATCACTCGGTGCAGAAATTAACACTAATGCTTTACAGCAGCTGGGTGTAAATATAACCAGAATGGTCCAGGTCAAGGTTTTTCCTGCCTCCTTTGAATTTCTTGGCACAAAGGGTCTATCTTCTGGATAATCTTCTAGATCTATCTGGATAATCTTCTAGATCTATCTGGATAATTATACAGGACTACTTAGGCAAGTAAAGTTCGTTAGGATTATTTAGTACCAACAGAGCATATAAATCTTGCCAATAACCCCCCCTGACTTTAATTACAGCGAAGCAAGTTTTATAGGGAGAGCATTTTGTTGGAACAAATGATTTATTTTGGGGAAAATAAATAAATAAATAAATAAACAACAAGCTCTTCGGTTCACAAGCTCTTCTGTACATATGAAATGGAAGGAACAAATTTCAAGCTTTAGTTTCTATTTAATTCAAATTAGTGGTTTGTTTAGACCAGACGCAATATTTATTTCCTTTTCAAATAACAAATATTGTGAGAGGACCTATTTAGTCGGGAGTAAGCAGGCATTTCCTAGTCTTGGTTAGATGCTTTTAAAATGTCTCTATAAACTGCAGGAAGAGCGAGGGCTTCATTTTCCTGCTAATGTTGTGTTTTCAGCCTAGGCGAGATAAGAAATACTCTTTATTCTTGCCCAAACTACTCATGCAACAAAACTCTTATCTTAAAAAGACATTGACAGGAACAGTTAACACACTGTATAATTAAAGCAATAAATTAATTACCAGGCTTCCCTGGTGACTATTAAACACTTGAGGCAAAAGAGCTGTCTTTTGCTCCTTGTTGAGGGATTATTACTATTTAGTTTGAACATTAGCTTGAACAATCTAAGTTACTTTCTCCGGTGCAAACGCGTAGCCACAAAACCCTTCGTGTTTCAGACACGTAAAGGTTGCACAGGCAGCTTTGCTGACACGCGTGGGGCTTGAGAGCTGGGGCGTCCTCTACCAATTCCCTCTGGCCGTGGGGTGATTTTGGGGGGGGGGGGGGGGGGGGGGGGTTGCAAGAAGAGATGGGCGCAGACGTCAGCTGCGGCAGGATTCTCATCGTAGGAAAACGCCTGGAAGGCGCCGCCTGGGGAAAATGTCACCGGTGAGAACCCAGTTGTGCAGCACGTCGGGACGCACGGGGAGGGGGGGTGTGGGTATTTGGCACCTTGCCTCGGTCCCGGGGTGACTCAGGCCAGGCAGCAGACGCCTGACGCATGTTTTTTTATTGAGCTGATGGGCCAAAACGTCAGCTGATGTGCTTATCGAACATTAAAGTCTCGTTGAACCCCCTTTTTGCCCTGGGGTTACGGAGGGAATGTATTTGAAAAGTCATCGGTAAAAGGCTGTTTGGGCATGGGGAGCTTTGCTTGGAGGAACTTGGAATCTCCACTACGATTGATAAAGCTTCACTTTCCAGCTTTCCGAATGTTTTGGCGTGGGAGGTGTCCCTGGGGAGCAGCCAGTCAGATGGAGGGGGGGAAAAGGGAGGACACGTGGAATTGCCGGCTGCGTGCCGCGGCCAGGAGGAACGCCCGTCAGGGCCAACCGGTTCCCGAGGAAGGATGCGTCCCGTCCGATCGATCAGCAACCTTCCCAGCGAGGAAATCTTTGGCTAGACTTTGGAGCTGAGGAGCAACGTCACGCTAATTGAGACCTGGGACGTGATCGCTGAAGCTCGCGAGTCCCCGTGAGCCATCAGGCACGGAGGCAAAACGTGAGGCAGCTCGACTGCCGGTTAAATTTTCAACAGAGCCTCTTTCACAGGCATATAAACACTCTCATTCAGTTGTATTCAACACGTGTTGGGTCAGACTCCCAAACTGACAAATAAACTTTACGCTTTACTCCTCGAAACACGTAACCGAAGTTTTGAGGGAAAACCTACAGCGACGTAGTAGCTTTTCCACTCTCTTTTTTCACCGGTTCGTGGTTGTAGATGTGGTTTCACGTCGGTCAAAAGTAGATGTTTGAATCCCGGCAGGGAACGGTCGCCTAACGGAGCAAGCTCCAGGAGCTGAAAGAGTTTCCATTCGTACGCCGAGCTCATAAAAAAACATAAAAAACCCCCTACGTCCCCGAGTCCAAATCCTTTATCAGCCAACAATTTGAGAGACTTAGCTTGTTTCTTGTGCTGGAGCAGGAGCACACCCACCGCCCCGCCAAATATTGCTGTGCTGGAGTTGGGGGGGCTGATGCCAAAATTGAAGACAGATCGCACGGAGCCTGTTTTTTTTTGGGGGGGGGGGGGGGGATCTTGAGAACACTTCAGGACTCCCCTTGTCGGGCTGATCAGTGCATTCAGTAGCTCCTAAATCCCCCCCCCCCACCCAAACGGTCTTTGCCTTTAAAAGAGGGGGATCCCCCCATCGCCCTACGTCAACGCTCCGCTGTCACAGCCGTGCTGTGAAGCGCTACATCTCTCCCCCCCCCATTCCCCCCCCCACATTTTCCAGATCGAAGAGATTCCATTGATAAGGAAGAGGCAACAGGAATTGGATGGAGGAGGAGGGGGTTGGAGGGGGGAAGGTGGGGACGTGCTCCCCGGGGGGGGGAGCCGACCTTGGAGCCGGGCGCTGGCCGCTCCCGTGTTTGCTCCCGACTTTGTCGCCCCTGCCTGCCCTGGCACCCTCGGATTCAAAATGTTGCTGAAAAAAAAAACAAAAAACCCCCCCCCAAAAAAAAACCAACAAAACAAAACAGAGTGCAACTTGATATTTTTATGGGTGTTTTGTGATAGGGAGGGATATAGATCTTAGGGGACTGGACTTGCTGATCAAGACTTTCCTGTTTGTAAAAGAGTTTATTATGCACTTTTATCTCCTCATTCTCCTTTTTATCTTCTCCCCCTTTAGCCTGTTTCCTAGTGTGGCTTTCTCAGCCGTATTTCCATCAAAATTTTTCTTTAAAGCCCTCTTCTTCAAGATGTTTCTCTTTCCTTCAAGACACCTGCTTTTCTGTGCCTCGCTTTTCTCTGTATTTACCACTTTCTTCCAGTTTTCTTCCGCCTCGATAGCACGAAGAGGTAACATTAATCGCCCCAGCTGGATGGGACGTCTCCAGATGCCTCCTTTTTTCCCCATCCATTTTTCCCTGTGTGGCAAAAAAAAATTAAAAAAAAAAAAAAAAATAGGGACACGGGCGGGTGGTGGCTTCATGGTTGGACTCGATGACACCAGCCGCTCCCCACGACGTTTGTCCTCTAGACCTTTCACCAGCTTCGTTGCTCTTTTCTGCTGGGCTTCAGGGAAGATTGAAGAGTTCGGGGGGAACTGAGGATACCTTTAGGGTTATTTGCTCAGTTTTAAGCAGCTGTGGTCAATTCAGAAGGCTGGGCCGAGTGGAGCCAAGCGTTGTCCCTGTGTGCGGGAGGACAAGAAGGCTCTAACCCCCAAGCAACAAGACCAGAGCTCTGTATTCACTTCCCAGGCCAAAATCTGCAAACAAAAGCAAGCAACTTACTCTCTAGGTCCCAGATTTTCCTCTGTAAAATGGAGATTTTTTTTTTTTTTTTTCATCTTTCCCCCTACTGTTGGCCTGCTCGGTGTGATCCCAAGAGTTTCAAATAAGAGTGTTGGTCTCTTTGGAGGTAACAAACGATGGGACAAGAGGAAACGGCCTCAAGTGGCGCCAGGGGAGGTTTAGGTGGGATATTAGGGGAAATTTCTGCACTGAAAGGGTTGTCAAACATTGGACCAGGGAAGTGGTGGAGCCGCCATCCCTGGAGGGATTTAAAAGATGTGGAGACGCGGCGCTTGGGGACGTGGTTTAGTGGTGGCCTTGGCAGCGCTGGGTCAACGGTTGGACTCGATGATCTGAAAGGCCTTTTCCAACCGAAACGATCCCATCTTCTCCAACCTTGAGCCTCCAATCCCGTGATGTCCCCTGTTGTCCCCCCCGCCCCCCCCCCTTGGCCTGGACATGCCCCGAGGGGGGCTGATGGCTGGCTCCCTCCTGCCAAGACCCCCCCCCCCCAAATCCCCCCTCCCCGGGGTCTCACAGCCTGGTTTGGGGTCTCACAGGGTGGTTTGGGGTCTCACAGGCTGGTTTGGGGTGCACCCCATGGGGGGGGAGACACAGCAACATCCCCCCCCCCCCCCGCCCTTCTCACCAGGGCCGGGCTGCAGGTGAGGGCGGGGTGAGGCGGGGCCGCAGCACTGGCTCCTCCCGACACCCCAATAGGTTGTTTTCTTTTTTTTTTTTTTTTTTTTTTTTTTTTTGGGGGGGGGTGTGTGTGTGTGTAGGGGGTGTGGGGTTAAGGGTTGATTTATCCGGGAGAGGCTCCGGCAGGTAGCATGTCCTCCCCCTCCAAAGGTGAGTCTTGGCTCCGGCTGCGTGGGGCTGTGCGGGGGGGGGGGGGGGTAGTTATTGTCCCCCGTGGGGGTGGTGACATCCCGCCCCCCCCCCCCCCCCCCCCAACCCGGGTGTCACCCAAAGGGCCTCTTTCCCCCTCCCCCCCCCCCCGGTGTCACCCAAAAGATCCCTTCCCCCCCCTTCTCCTCCAGTGGCACCCGAGGGGGACCCTTCCTCCCCCTCGCTGGTGGCACCCAAAGGGTTCCCCCCCCTCGGTGGCACCCAAAAAACCCCTTCTCCCCCCCCCCCCTCCACTTTGGGTGCTATTAGGGGACAAATCCCATTCCCAGCTTTGCAGGGAGGCGGGGGGGGGGGGGGGGGAGCTCCTAAACCTCGCAGTCCCTCGCTCACCGTGCCTGCATTTTCAGCATTTCCCCCCAAATTAGCACACCCCCCAAAAAAACAAACCCCGCCAAACCCCAGTCCCCCCGCAGGTACTTTTCCCGCCTCCCATTTCTTCTTATATATTTTTTTTTTTTAACTTCCCTGTATCACACACACACACACACACACACACACACACACACCCCCCTCCTTTGTTAACGACTCTGCCCAAAGCAAATTATTCTTCTCATGCCGTCGGGATGAGCGAATGTCTGGTGGCCAAAAGTCTGCGGGTTGTTTGCAAAACCTTTTTTTCCTCCCCCCCTGCCACCCCCCCCAACTCCTCCCTTGATTTTCTTTGCCCTTAATTGTGTGTTGTGTTGTTAGTCACTGCTTATCTGATCTTCTCCCCCCCCCCCCCCCCCCCCCCCCCCCCCCCCCCCCCCCCCCCCGGGTTGTCTGTAGAAGCGCTTTCCTGCAGTGGGAAAAAATATATATATAAAAAAAAAAAAATACGGTGTATTTGTCACTTTTACATGTCTGCTTATGATTTCCTAAAAAAAAAAACCAAAACAAACAAACAAAAAAAAACCACAAAAAAAAAACGGTTTCTCCGAATGCTTGTGAGAACAACAGTAACAAATCACCGCTTTCCTGCCCTGGCACCAGGCATGAAAAAGGCGAATAAATATTGTATAAACCCCTGTTCAGCTGTGGAAGGAGCGTGATATTTTTTTACCGGGCTGTTCCTGGTGTGTGCGGAAAAAAAAAAAAAAAATAAAACCTCCAAATGCAGGAACCTTGCGTTGGCGTCCCAGCGCTCAGCTGGAGCCTGACAGGGAATTCCTTGATCGGACCCTTTCCAGGAACGGCGATTAATTGGCTTCCTTCCAATGAGGTGCTTTTAAATTCCCAAGTGTCCCGCTGAGGTGCCAGCCTGTGACAAACCTGGGCTGTCCCCTGCCTTGTTCCGAGACACCCGTGGCCCACGGGGTCCGTGTCACTGATTTTTGGCGTGGGCAAAGCCCAAGGAGCTGCTTTCTGGCCAAGAGCGCAACGATATAAACGCTGCTTTTATCATGAACCTTCCTCAAAATAACGTTATTGTGAATAATTCCGGGCCTTCCTTGCATATAACCTTTCCTGCTTGCTGCGTCCTTGGATTTTTGTTTGCGTGAGCTTTCGAGCGAGCAACCCACCCTGAGGGCAAGCGCAGCGCTGGGCTTTTCACCCAAATATAACTGGGATATCGCTGCGCTTGTTGCACCTGAGTTGATGATTTTGGGGATAAAATATAACTGGGGTATGGCTGCGCTTGTTGCACCTGAGTTGATGATATTGGGGATAAAATATAACTGGGATATCGCTGCGCTTGTTGCACCTGAGTTGATGATTTTGGGGATAAAATATAACTGGGGTTTGGCTGCATTTGTCTCACCTGAGTTGATGATTTTGGGGATAAAATATAACTGGGATATCGCTGCGCTTGTTGCACCTGAGTTGATGATTTTGGGGATAAAATATAACTGGGATATCGCTGCGCTTGTTGCACCTGAGTTGATGATTTTGGGGATAAAATATAACTGGGGTATGGCTGCGCTTGTTGCACCTGAGTTGATGATTTTGGGGATAAAATATAACTGGGATATCGCTGCGCTTGTCGCACCCGTGTTGACGACCCTGGGCCTAGCAGAGAAAATCCCGCGCGCTCCGAGGCGCGTTTCTGGAAGGGTGGCAGCGGGATTCCTGGTCTGCAAACCCCAAATCTCTGCCATTCTCCCGCCCACCAAAACCTGTGAAGAATAATAGATGAACTTGGCGCTACTGCCCTGGTGCTGGTGGTTGCCCAGCTGGGCAAGGAGGGCCCTCCCGAAGGACTCCCAGCCCAGTTTGAGAGCTGTTATCGCCCGGCTTCGCCCGGTTCAACCGGTTCAGAGCTGAAGAATATTTCCATTCCAGGATTTATCCCTCCCCTCCCGGGGCGAGCAGAGGTTTCAGCCTGGATTAGTGCTGGCTGAAAGGAGAATTGATCCTGCCTCGCCTTTGTCTGGGGTGACTCAGGGGGTTGCTGGATTGCAGGCGGGAGGGCAAACAGCAGCCAGCAAGCCACAACAAACTTACTTTAACCCCTTGTAGCGCTTTGGGGAGCCAGGCTCTGTTGGAAAAACTCATTTGTGGCGCGGCTGTAGGTGTCTGGGATTTCTGCTTCATCTCCCAGCTTGGATAAACTGTGGCCTTGTGAAATCTGGGGATATTTGGAGTGAGTGATTTATATATATATATATATATATATTTTTTTTTTTTTTTTTTTTGGCTTGAGGTCAAAGCCCTCACGGGTTGTGCCTGGATACCCCTGTTCAGGGAGAAGCCGTGGTAGGAAAGGTAGCTCACTCTTTTGCAACCTGATTTTCCTCCTCTCTCCCATGTCCAGATCAGCTCGGTGATGGCCGGGGATGTGGCATCTGCTTTTAGAAGGTGGCCAAGAGTGAAAAAGAAAGTAGTAAGAGCTTTTGTTTCGCTGCTCGGAGTTCTAAGGAGTATCCCTCCGGGCACTGAAAGCTCACGCATGAGATTTCTTTACGCGGGGCACTTAAAGCTCGTGGGTTCAGTTTCTTTACACTTATTAATTTCTAATTTAGCCTCGTGGTGTTGTCTGCACGGAGATGTCGCTGGTGTGGGTGAGCCCCCCCGGGGCAGTTACCTCGGGGTGGGGTGGGGGGACCTGGCATTCCTCCTCCACCCCATCAAGAAATGTTTCAAGTTGCCTGCTTATATTTTGCCGAGAAAACGCGCGAGTTAAGGAATGTGCTGGCATCTTCCTGGCTGGTGCTGCAGTACTTTGCCTTGGGGATGACTCAACGACCTCAAGGGCTTGGCACCGCTCCCGAGCTAAACTGCCGGAGCCCGGAGACCTTGAACTTCAGGGTTTTAAAAGGCGTTTTAAAACGAAAAGAATATTGTAAAACACCTGTCGGCTTTGTAAAGCTCCTTGTCTCTTCCGCTGCGAGCCCGTCCGCACCCTCTGTGCTCCCGGAGTGGCTTTATTACTCCTCTGTTCTAACTCGAATCGGTTCCAGCTCCTTCAAATTCTCTGCTTCAAATCTCGGTTTATCCGGCGAGCGCCGGGGAGCTGGCTGGCTACCTGGGAAGGGGCTGGAAACGGGCTCCTGGGGATCCAGCCGCTCGCTTCAGAGCAATGCAGCTGACACTGGATGTCACCATTGCACAGCACAAACCCAGCTGAAGGTGCTCGGGACTTTAATTTTCCTTGAGGAAAAAAAGCCTTTTCTCTTCTCTCCCACCTACACCCCGGATGGGTAGTTCGGTTGTTTCTTTATTATTTTTATTTCCCTAAGAGTTAACGGTATCATTCAGGCTTTGGGCTGCTTCTTCCAGCTAAGCAGGAGGGGGGTTCTGCACTGGCGTGGGGGTCAGGGTTGGGAATGCAGAGCCAAGCGTGGACTAAATTCCCTGATGGCAGTGGGATTACTGCCCGCAGGATAATCAGGTTTGGTTTATAAACTTTGCAGGTGGATGGCAAAAGTTTTGCTTTCTTCTGAGTTAAACAGCATGCATGTGTGATTTTCTGCCTGGGATCTCTGGCCCCATGTTTTCTGAAATCATAGGGGATTGGGATGTAGGTTGCCACTAAAAACTCACTGAGGTTTTCAGTGAGAATAATGCGTGACTGTATCTCTCTTCCCATCCATTAGGAAAAAAAAAAAAAAAAAAAAAAAATCAGCTGCTTGCATTTTTATTTTGTTTTAAGTGGTCCTTAATGTTTGGTGCTTGCAGCTTGCAATGCCCGCTTGGCTCCAGCATGCCCCTGAGCTTGAAATGGAATTAAATGGGGTGGAATAATGGATTTATTCTCCATCCTTGCATAATGAAACGAGCCTCGCTCTTCTCTCGCTCGTACAGAACAGAGAAACGCACGTATAGTGATGACTACCCTGCTGCTCACCGAGCAAATAACACGGGAAGATCACGGCTCAGAGGGCAACTACGTCCTTTACGGATCCTCGTGTTCCCAAATCACTGAGGAAGCTGAATACATGAAAAAGGTATTTCTGAAGTTCTGTTCCTTTCCTTGCTTCAGCCAGAAACACAGGCAGCAAAACTAAGAACCACTGGAAGAGAAAATTCTGACCTGCGTCGCGGAAAACTTTTTGGTTTACACGTCGATGCAAGAAGAGCTGTTTACTCCGTAGTAGTAGTGGCCTAATTAGAGCATTAGGTCTTGGGTTGGGTTAAACTGCTTTGAAACCGGGGAGGTTTCCACCCCTTTTTAGGGGTTTAGGATTTTTTAGGACTGTTTTAGGACTGTCACAAGAATTTTTCACCCCTTTTTAGGGGTTTAGGATTTTTTTAGGATTTTTTTAGGACTGTCGCGAGAGGTTTCCACCCCTTTTTAGGGGTTTAGGATTTTTTAGGACTGTTTTAGGACTGTCACAAGAATTTTTCACCCCTTTTTAGGGGTTTAGGATTTTTTTAGGATTTTTTTAGGACTGTCGCAAGAGGTTTTCACCCCTTTTTAGGGGTTTAGGATTTTTTTAGGACTGTCGCGAGAGGTTTCCACCCCTTTTTAAGGGTTTAGGATTTTTTTAGGACTGTCGCGAGAGGTTTCCACCCCTTTTTAAGGGTTTGGGATTTTTTTAGGACTGTCGCGAGAGGTTTCCACCCCTTTTTAGGGGTTTAGGATTTTTTTAGGACTGTCGCGAGAGGTTTCCACCCCTTTTTAGGGGTTTAGGATTTTTTTAGGACTGTCGCGAGAGGTTTTCACCCCTTTTTAGGGTTTAGGATTTTTTTAGGACTGTCGCAAGAGGTTTCCACCCCTTTTAGGGGTTTAGGATTTTTTAGGACTGTTTTAGGACTGTCACAAGAATTTTTCCACCCCTTTTTAGGGGTTTAGGATTTTTTTAGGATTTTTTTAGGACTGTCGCAAGAGGTTTTCACCCCTTTTTAGGGGTTTAGGATTTTTTTAGGATTTTTTTAGGACTGTCGCAAGAGGTTTCCACCCCTTTTTAGGGGTTTAGGATTTTTTTAGGACTGTCGCGAGAGGTTTCCACCCCTTTTTAGGGGTTTAGGATTTTTTTAGGACTGTCGCGAGAGGTTTTCACCCCTTTTTAGGGTTTAGGATTTTTTTAGGACTGTCGCGAGAGGTTTTCACACCTTTTTAGGGGTTTAGGATTTTTTTAGGACTGTCACAAGAGGTTTCTACCCCTTTTTAGGGGTTTAGGATTTTTTTAGGATTTTTTTAGGACTGTCGCAAGAGGTTTCCACCCCTTTTTAGGGGTTTAGGATTTTTTTAGGACTGTCGTGAGAGGTTTTCACCCCTTTTTAAGGGTTTAGGATTTTTTTAGAACTGTTTTAAGAGGTTTCCACCCCCTTTTAGGGATTTAGGATTTTTTTAGGACTGTCGCGAGAGGTTTCCACCCCTTTTTAGGGGTTTAGGATTTTTTTAGGATTTTTTTAGGACTGTCGCGAGAGGTTTCCACCCCCTTTTTAGGGGTTTAGGATTTTTTTAGGACTGTCGCGAGAGGTTTCCACCCCTTTTTAGGGGTTTAGGATTTTTTTAGGACTGTCGCAAGAGGTTTCCACCCCTTTTTAGGGGTTTAGGATTTTTTTAGGACTGTCGCGAGAGGTTTTCACCCCTTTTTAGGGTTTAGGATTTTTTTAGGACTGTCGCAAGAGGTTTCCACCCCTTTTAGGGGTTTAGGATTTTTTAGGACTGTTTTAGGACTGTCGCAAGAGGTTTTCACCCCCTTTTAGGGGTTTAGGATTTTTTAGGACTGTTGCGAGAGGTTTTCACCCCTTTTTAGGGGTTTAGGATTTTTTAGGACTGTCGCGAGAGGTTTTCACCCCTTTTTAAGGGTTTAGGATTTTTTTAGGACTGTCGCAAGAGGTTTTCACCCCTTTTAGGGGTTTAGGATTTTTTAGGACTGTTTTAGGACTGTCACAAGAATTTTTCACCCCTTTTTAGGGGTTTAGGATTTTTTTAGGACTGTCACGAGAGGTTTTCACCCCTTTTTAGGGGTTTAGGATTTTTTTAGGACTGTCGCGAGAGGTTTTCACCCCTTTTTAAGGGCTTAGGATTTTTTTAGGACTGTCGCAAGAGACACCTAAGTGCGTGTCCCCCCGCCACAGCCCGACAGGGCAGAGCTGGGGGACGCGAGGAGAAAGTTGCCGGGTGCTCAGCGGTGCAGCGAGCGGCGGCGGGGGGGATAACTGTGTCCACAGCGAGAAGTTTTGGCTTTTGCAGCTGAAGTGAAAAGGCGTCCGGTAGCGTGGCCGAGACGGGGAGACGGCGAGGAGCGTGGCTGAAGGTGCGGTCGGAGCTTCCTTGCTTGCTTTGCGTAGCCAGCCTGCACCGAGGCAGTTAGAAACTGCAGGGTGGAGGCGTTCTACTTTAAAAGTGGTAACGTGTGATACGATGCATCAAAAAAAAAAAAAAAAAAACAACCCCCCCCTCCCATGTATCTCGAGCGTCTGTTCGACCTGCTTGACCGTTTGAACGTCGCGCCGGTGGTACGAAGCCATTTGCATCAAGGTTGAGCTGAGTTGTAGGGCTGGGCTTGGTCCCTGGAAGTGGTGAGGAGGATCTGGAGCAGTGAGTAACCTTGTTGGAAGCAAAAGTCTCGGCTTGGGGTACCCGGAGGATCAGTATCTCAGGAGGCGGAGGATGACCCGTGGGACTGGCAGATCCTGGAGGCAGCGGTCGGCAAAACCGGGAGCGCCTTGGAGAGCGTGAAATAGTCTTGAGTTGTTCCTTCCCAGAGGAAACGCGGGGAGAACGGAGTTTAATGAATGCATTTAATGAATTCTTGTGCGTAATGACACAAGAGAGGACCTCAGACTTTTGAATTAAGTCCAGAGAAAGACGATTTCTTCATTCTCTTCACAATTACCTTTAGGAAGTTGCAGAACGCATGCTGGAACTTTGAATCTGAAAATTTTGTGATGAATCCTTGAGCATCTCGTAATATAAAATCATTTAGATGAGGCAATTACTGAGAAAAAAAATATATATATTCTCCGGTGGTGACACCAAATCATAAAGGGCGTATGAAGCAGTGCCCTGCTTGATGCTGACACCACCACGAATGGGTAGGAGATGCTTTTTTTTTTTTTTTTTTTTCTTTTCCCCGTAAGAGATTTTGTGAGCAACGAGATTCAGCCTAGTAGATGTGATATCTTATTTCTTTGCTCTAAGCAGCCGAGCACGGTGATGATAATATGCAGAGGCAGTTTTTCTGCATCCCAGCTGAGCCCAGGAGAGCACTATGGAATGAGGGAGAGGAAGGATCAGTGGGCTGAAACACAGTTAATTAAGAAATAATTGATTACGAAAAGTTCTTCCTGAAAAATGCTTCCTCCTCTCTCTGTTCAGTTGAGGAATGAGGTTGGATAAAGGCCTCTGCAGCGCAAAGAAAGTGATTTATGGACTGAACCCTTTAAAAAGCACAGAGTGCCCTTTGTTTGTAGCAGTTTATTTTTAACAAACGAACTTGGTGTAACGTGAGAAAGGCCGTATAAATGCCGGGGTGTGCTGGCATAAATCTGACCGACAGCAGGTTCTGTTCCTTGCACGGACCAGCTCTCAAAACAGCTGGGAGGCAAGCACGGAGCAGGCGTTTGTGAGCACCTCCAGGAGGCAAAAAAGGGGGGTTAAGCAACTCAAAAGCACTTTCAGGAAGTTTCGAGTGAAGGCGCAGCCCCTAGGGAGCGAACAGATTTGGAAACGGTGTGTCCAACCAATTCACATGTGCTGGAGTAAGGCAGGGCTCTTTAGAGGGGAAGTGTTGGCCACCAATTAGTCTCCCCGAGGAGGCCGCAGTATGGCGCAAAGCTAATGAACGTGCAACAGCAAATATTTTCATTTCAGTTACTTTGTGGAGGGGGAGGAGCTGTGCTGGCGGCTGCCCCGTGAGCTGCTCGGGCCCCGACGCCCCGTGCTCCCCGCGTGTTTATTAGAAGCCAGATCTTTTAGGGTCAGCTCGATTGCTCCAGCTGTGTTGTTGTTGTTGTTTTTTTTTATTATTATTATTATTATTCTTTTTAATACAATTCCCACGTGCGATTCCTTCGGCAGCTTCCTCAAGTCCCGGGCACTCAAGCGGAGTCAAAGAGCAGCGGCTGGAGCTGGAGCTGCAGTCCCGTTGCGACGACGATGAAGGAAACCGAAGAGCAGTTGCTGCTGGTGCAGAGGGAAAACCAAGTCCTGAAGATCAAGGTGTGTTCGGGTTGGTTTTTAAGGTTTCTGATGAAGACGTGTGCCTTGCAGCCCAGCTGGAGTTGGGTCCCGGCCGCTGCCGCTCCGTGATCCCGCGCCGGAGCATTTCCTTTCGGGGAAGGGGCAGAATCTGCTTCGCTTTCCCGGCTGCTGCAAACTTCCACTCCAGCAGGCACGGGAATTCCAACCAAAATCCTCTTCTGGCCACACATCCCATTGCATGGCTAGCGAGACAGCACAGTCAGCTCTGTTGGTAGTTGACAGCAGATGTCTTTACAAGCGGTTGGAAGTGCCTCTCTCCTTTTAAGCCACCATCTTTTGTTTGTCACGAGGGGATGGCTCAATACTGAATAAATCTGCATTCATTTGGAAACAAAAATGCCTGCCAGATAGTGCCCACAGGTGTTTAGGATTCCTTTTTCTTTTTTTTTTTTGTTGACAAGGGGAAATACTGAAATTTGATCTTGTATAGAGGCCTTATTTTTCAGCATGTGGTTATAACATCACTTTTTTTTTTTTTTTTTAAAAAAAAAAAGCACAATAAACACGTCTCGTGCAATAACTCTTTCTAGCTGGAAGCCACGAGAGAAGCTGGGGCACAGGCTCTCAGATCTGCCTCCCAGAAACTGTACGAGAATTACCAGGCTCGGTCAGAAGAACTGAAAAAAAGCCACGAGCACGAGAAGCAGCAAATACAGGTACAAACCTCCCCCGCGTGTGGGCACGACCATCCTGTTCACCATCAAAATATTTACGGGCGCTCCGGCTCTCTGCGCTGCAAACTTCAACCTAGGAGCCCCCGAGCCTCTTCTGCTAGCGCAGCGGGGAAGTTAAATAGGGGAATTCAAAATGATTCCGGGTTTGTCCCCGATTCTTGGAATTGGGTTGGGAGAGTTGGCTCAAAACTCGAGCCTCGGCTCTGCCCACCCGCCGCGTCCACCAGCTCGCCCCGCCCGCGTTAACGCCTTCCTTGGTCCCAGGCCTCCAAACTCCACGAAGAAGAAAAGCTCCAGCAAAGCTCCGAAAACGCCAGCCTCCTTGCCGAAGGCGTCCGGGAGAAATGTGCCCGCATCGCAGAGCTGGAGAACCGCGTGCAAAGGATGGAGGAGGTAAGGCCGCCCGCTCCTCGTCTCTGCCCACCCTGGCGCCGGGCGTGCCGCTGCTCGGGAAGAGGATTTCATTTTCATTCCTGGGGTTGGGGGCACGTTAGCTGTTGGAACCGGGACTAAAAAAAGCTTCTGCCACGTTACACCAAAGTGAGAACCTCAGTAACGATAAACGAAGCACGCAATTTGAGCGCGGGCTTTCAGAGCTTGCTTAAAAACCGCAGGGCACGAGGGAGAAGTCGTAATTTGCAGCTATTGACGATTTCTACTCCTAAATAGTTGCTCTTTACCTTCCCCCATCGGCACAATCCTGGCATTTGAAATGAAAACGCTGGCCCCCCCCGCACTAAAAATTGCCGATTTTAACCCCGACGGCTGCGTGCACAGACACTCGCCGAAAATTTCTTTGCCTTTATTGTCAGTTTCCTTCGGTGGCGGTCGTCGCTTTGGGAGAGGCGATGGCACCGTGCATCATTTTTCTGATGTACGCACTCAGTCGCAGCGGGAATTACTCCCGCAGGAATGCCAGGCTAAAACTGAGCTCCTCCTCACTCCTGGGATTACTGTCGAGGTGGGGTCAACGAACGTTATTTCCACCCCCATCGCGTGCAGGTCATTTTTCTGATATTCACGACTTTTGTCATCAGTTTTGCTCAGATTTTTCCCTCTCTGGACAAGGTTTTGAGAGGCGGACGGAGAAGAAATGCACTATCCCCTGGCCGTTGAGCACGGACTCTCACAAGACCCGAGGAGTTTGCTAATTAAAGGACAAGAACTTCTATTTTGTGAGAGTCTGGGCTTTTCGCAGGGTTAAATCAGTACAGTCAGCCCTTCCCGCTTCGATTCGGGGAGGTCAGACTGGTTTGTACCTCCAGCTGATGTTGAAGGAGGTTGCTGTAGGTGGTTATTGGTGAATTCTGCCCGTTTCCAGACACTGGGCGGAACTGTTGAACGTGCAGCCAAACTTCCCTCGCTAATCAAACGGCAGGAAGTGTAATGCAGTTTTTATATAACTTGAATCGTTTCCTTAGGAAAAGAAAATTCTGATAGAGAAGAAAACGTCATTTGAAAAGATGCTTCAACAGATGGTGTCAAGGAATGAAGACAGCAACCGGTGATTAAATGCACGGGGATAAAGTGTTTTCCTTTCTTTCTGGGGGATTATTTCACGTCGGGTACCGGGCAATCGCTGACACGAGTTCCTTCGGGTAGTGAAATTATTGCCGTTGGTTCAAATACCGATTTGCCGCGATTGCTTGAAGAAGCCAAGACAGCTGTTGATGTCCTACAGCTCTCAGGCGTTGATTCGACTCGAATTCCTAGCACTTTTCCTTCCACCTTGAACTGCTCCCCTTTCCTGACTCTCGCGTGGAGTCAACGCTGCTTTGGTGCATTGAGTCGGTAAGGCCTTTTGTTTTTTCATAGATTTACTTATCAGCCGCTAGTAAGGGTGGCCCTAGCAGGCAAAATATGTCCCAAGCTATAGTTTTATTTGTTCCACTCAATCAAGAAGCCTTTCTAGGCGTAGTTCTGCACGGATTACAGCCACGCCTCCTCGGAAACGTCGCGGCGCTAGCAACAAGCTCTCGAGTTGTCCCTGGGGGTGGGAAAAAAAGCGGGGATGGAGCCCGTTGGGCGCTTCTCCTCTCGCCCGCAGGTGCCTGGCTCTCCGGGAGCGGATCGCCGCTCTCCGGGAGCAGATCAACCACCTGCAGCGCGTGATCCGGGCGCAGCACCACGGCCTGCGCGGCGTGATCGGGGAGGTGAGGCCGAGGAACGGGAGGGAGGGGGGCTTTGGGGGGGGGGGGGGGCACCTGCTGGGGCAGAGCGGCTCGCATCCCAACATTTAAGGCCCCCAACATTAGCTGCCGCTCATCAGGTTTGTGTCTAGGCCAACAAGAGGTAGACTTGTTATCCTAAGGGAAACACCACACCGGGCGTTGGGAAATTGTTCCAGCAGTCGACGACTTTGAGCTTTTTCTATGGTAAAAGACTAAGGACTTGAGCGGTCTGCAATTCCCCTGGTAGGGTGTGCTGGGTTTGAGCGAGTGGTGGGGTTTTTTTGGTGGCAGGGGAGGGGGGCTATAGGGGCGGCCCCCCTGTGAGAAGCTTCTCGAAGCTCCCCCAGCTCCAAGCCAGCTCCACTTCTGTTTGAGATATTTAACTCCGTGGTTTGGCTCAGCACGGAGCTGGTTTTGATGCATGAAGCTTTCAAACCTCTTGCAAAGTTTATTTCTTAACTCTCAGGCAGAGGAACTGAACAATGAACTCAGAAGCCAAGATAAAAAAATAGAAAACCTGACAGAGAAGCTGACTGCCCTGGAAGCACAGGTAAAGTCGGAAAATAAAAAGAAGTACGGAAGGGAGAGAGCAAAAGTAGTTCTCAACAGTCAGGGGGCCCTTCACACTGCTGGGCTTGTGTCAGTACGACACTTGTGTCACTTGTTTTTTTTTTAAAAAAAAAAAAAAAAAAATCCAAGCACAAAAAAACTGCCCAAACACCCCCCAGAATCTTTCTGGAGGAGCAGCAGGTCCTAGCTGGAATCCAGGCTTGTCTCTTGTCTGCTATGTTATGCTGAGAGAGGGTTTGGTTTGTTGGTTTTTTTTTTTTTTTTTTTTTTTTTCCCTTGCAGAATAAAGAACTGAAAGACAGAGTGGAGTTCTGGTCTGGTCAGCCCAAGGCTAAAGTTTCAAAAGCTGTCTGGACAGAGTAAGTAAGGCGGGAAGGGCTGAGCCCGTGGCTCTTTGAGCTGAGTCAGGCCTTGCAAAGCCTGCATCCTGCAGAGCTTCTCTCTATAAAGGAGAGGAAAACCCCAAGCTCTGCTACATAACTTCGTAACTGATGGCACGAGGGCTGGACGCCGAGTCCTGACTCCCACCCCAGCTCGGATGGGACGTGCTCAGGACGTCGAGCAAAGGCAGCTACAGCAGCTTGTACGGCCACTCAGGATTAAACAGGAGCTTTTCCCGGGGGGGATCCAGGCCTTTGCTGGAGCTCTGGACCCAAGTTCCTGCTCTCAGTTAGCAGGACAGGCGCTTGAAGTCAGCTCCTTCGCCTCCAGAGCCATAGTTAGAAACCTTTGCTTTATTTCCTATAAGGTTGTGGTGGGTTTAAGCCCGGCTTGGGCAGGCGAGGGTGTCCGAGCGATTTCTCACCACCTTGCGCTTCGCGGTGCAGCGCCCCACGGTATTTCGGAGCGTCCCCTTACCTGCTGCTCACCAGGCTGAGGAAGCAAGAGAGCTAAAGGCACGACTGGATGCTGCTCTCCTACTTTTAGCCAGGAGGACTTGCCCCGCGTCTCGCAACCCGCGACCTCCCCCCCCCCCCCCGACGGCCTCTTCCTCACCGCCGAGCCCCTCCGGCGCGCCGCTGCCTCTCCGCCGTGCAGCGCTCGGGAGAAACCTGGAAACAAAGCGAGAGCTGAGGAGAAGCCACCCGTGAGCTCACGAGCGCCGGTTTTTGGGGTGGGTTTTGCACCCCCACACCAGCTCGACCCCCGCCGCGGCGCGGGCAGGGCAGCAAGCAGCCCCCTGCTTGCACCAAGGGGCTCCCGCCTACCCAGGCGGCAGCAGAGTACCTCGGTTTAACCGTGATTTTCGTTTATAAAATAAACTTTTGGCTCCCCTGGGGTCGCCGCTTTGGGAACCTGAGAACAGCCCGGGGGGCTGGTCTGTCTCCTCGATCCCTCAGACACAGACAGAGCATCCTCGGGGGCGGCGGCGGGGAGGAAAGAAATCGAATAAAATTCAACACCTTGATCCTTAAATTGTGCTGGAAGGCACCGAGTTTCTGTTTGTTCCTTTCCTGACCTAACTGTAGGTACGTTCGGCGAACGTGGTGTCACTCTGGGGTTGGGTGCACATAAAAGCTCAGCACCCCGCTGAATAGACCCCCGGAGCCGGGGTCCACGGCTCGCCCGGGTTAGGCTTGCTCACCCTTTAAGAGGGCGACTTTGGGAAATCGGGAGCGTTGCCCCGTGAAGTGAAGGCAAGAAGCTGCTGTCCCCTCTTTTCCCATCCCGCTCTCCGGGGACAAACGGAGCTCAAAGAGGGGGGTTGAACCTCGGTGAGGTTTGCAAACACAGCGCCCAAGCAACCCCTCAGCCAGCCCGAAAATCCCTCGTCCTCCAGCTCTTTAACACTGCCTAACGAGGCCGTAACTCTTAGGGAGAAGCCCCAAACCAGCCGAGACACAGGCTTTAAAAATGTCATTTTTTTTTTTTTTTTTTTTTATTCTGAAAAGAACAGCGCCGAAACTGAGTCACGGGGTACATCCCTCAGCTGCATTACACAAACCCGGCCACCCGCGACTCAGTTGACAGAACGTTTTGAAGCCACTTTGGTACAACAGAGTGACACTGACAGCGGTAAGAAGCAAGCGCCACGGTCCGACCAAGGGGCATCTATCATCAAAAATACTATTTGTGTTCGGGGGAGTTTCAATCACACCCATGGCACTAGGCAAGAGCGCAGATCTGTTGAAGACAAACAGAAAACATGCTTACAGTAGTAGAACAGAAGGAGACACTGAAAAGGTAATTGATACAGGATGCTTAGTGTTTATCTGGAAAGGTGAAAGATACTCGAACAAAAAACTCCACCATTTAACTCCCATGAGTAAGATACAACAGGTTTCTTCTAACATACAGTTTGTCCATTAAGCCCGATCGCACGATGAGGATGGACAACTTTAGGGTCTATTTTCTAAAGTGATTTTTTTAACTAGGTAACCGTCTGGAAGCAAAGCACGGAGCAAAGAATCATTTCCTCTGTTGCCTTTAATTAGTTTAGAAAGAAGAAGAAGAAATCAGAAACAGACCTGCCCAGCATCAAAGACGATAGTCCCAGGTCAACAGGATCCTCTGGGGGAAAAGAAAAAAAAAAAAAAGAACACAAACCACAAAACTTATCCTATATGGGGGTGTGTGGGGGGGTTCTTTGGGGGAGGGAGTTTCTATTCAAAGTAGAATTATTAGATAGGAAAGAAGCTGTGAAAATTCGCTTTTCTCTTTACAGGGGCCTCAAACCAGGTCTCCTAGCAGTCAGGTAAAAAAAAAAACAAAACAATTTTCACAGTTTCACATCAGTTATAACACATTTTTTTTTTTTTCTCCTTTTCTTTGTAAGCAAGATCAGAGCATGGTCTGAAACTCCTCCAGTGTTCACACCTGTATAAAAATAGCAACCACGAGAGGTTATTTTTACGCTTGCTGCTTTTCTTCAGTTATTGTGCCAAGAATACAAATCTTAAAATAACAGCTCCAAGTTTTTTGTTTGTTTTTTTTTTTTTTTTTTCTAAAGTTTAGGCTGAAAACATCAGTTATATCCATGGATTGAAACAGTTGTAGGAGCTAAAACCTATGACCTCGAAACAGTCCCAAAGAAGAGTTGCTATGGAGCAGGTATTCAAATCGCGTCTCGCGCACCTTGTAATACACTTTCTTTACATCATCCAATCCTCTAAAATGCAAACATGACAAGCCTCGACACATTCTGAACGTTAAATAAGCCTTCAGAAAACAGTTAAGGCAATCGGTTTTTATAAAGTTACCGAGACAGCAAGGAAATGGCAGCTGCTGGCAAGCTTGTCTTTTGCTACATCATCCTTACTGCCAGTCTCAGCTGCGCGAGCAGTCAGCAAATTGTCTGTTCTTGCCTTATGTTTCCTCTTTTTTTTAAAAAAAAAAAAAAAAAAACACAACATGTTTCAGGCACCCAAACTTTTTTTTTTTTTTTTTTTTTTTTTTTTGAATTCAGAGAAGCAAATACCTTTTCTCTTGCAAACGTCCGTAAAAAGCCACGGAAGGGCAAGGTTGTAAGACAGACTATTTAGGTCCCTGCTACTGGTTTTCTTTAGTGTTATAACCTCTCCGAGGGGCAGGCGGGTGCTGAGCTGGAAAAGGAGATGGTGACGTGGGGAAACCGCAGCGGCCAGGTCTGAGAAATGAGGACGTGCTGCCCTGCAACCACGGCCTGGAATCACTCCCCTGCCCAAACGCTTTTATTTGGCAATGAGTCTTCAGAATAAGGAGGGAAAACAACAACAGCAACCAAAAAAAAACCCCCCAAAACCCCCCAAAAAACAAACCACCACACAGTACTAGCTGATCACAGCTAAAAATATTTCGTAAAATGAAAGCTGGAATGATTGCAAAGCTTAAAATACACGAGGTGCCGCACGCTACATCCTGTCTCGGACCACGTCGGCGACGGGCCCCGTACGGAGAGCGGCTGCTTCAGCGTCTAAAAACGGTGCGGTGCAGACGAGTCATGAACACCCTGCTGGTCTTTTTCAGGTGACAGAATAATTTTGGTCATGGCTGGGCAATATTTAAAACCAAATAATAAAAAGCAGCTCATCCATAGCTGTATGTTCACAGCGTAGGGAGTTCTGTGCAGGTTTTTTTGTTTTTTTTTTTTTTTTTCCATTTTACACCATTTTAGAGCTTGTTGGTTTGCTCCTCACTTCACAGAGACACTCCAGACCCAATTCAGCCAAGCACCTAAACACAAACTCACGTAACTTCTCAAACTGGGCTCTCTGGTAAACACTGTAAACATTTAAAGGCACTTCTCTTATTTAAAGCATGTTGCCTTTAGTACCACTTGTATCCCGCAAGTTCCAGCCAGCCTTACGTATTCCCACCCCTCCGCAGGTAAATTGATTTATTCCTGAGGATGCAGAGCAGTACAGGATCCTGCCCTGGCATCTATGCATCCGAAAAAAAAAAAAAAAAAAAAGAAAAAAAAAAATCTAATTTAACAACAGCACTTTTTCTTTCTTGCACTCCTAAAAAAGGTCTTGGCGCTCCTCCTGCAAGGCGAGGGGCTGGGTAAGGTCAGCAAAGGCTGCGCAAACGTCATAGTAAGAGCAGCAACATCAGCTTAAAGACATTCCCAGCCGACTCTTAAGTTTCCTCATCCCTCTAAGGACGAGGTAAGATTTGTTACGCTGCACATGCGAGTTAACTGGGATGCATGGAGAAGATTAAAGGAGCACGTGCAACCAGAAGTTGGATAAATTGAACCATCTACAGCCCGAGACGGTTGCCGGGGAGGAAGAAGGCAGAACTATGCAGAGAGAAAAGGAAACTGGAATTATCCTCAGCGTCAAATCCCACAGGTTGCACCTCTGAAGGAGGGGTAACACCATCACCTTCTGTCAGTGCACGGCACCGGTCAGAAATTCCCACACATGCTGCACAAGGAAGCCTGCAGCAAGAGCACTCGCCTGGAGGGATGCTGGAAAACTGAAAGAAGGTTTTTCTCAAAGGACACAAAAAGACACCAGTGCTTGGCCTGAAACTCAAGACAAAAGCCCAGAGGGTTAGAACACCGGCACTGCTATTTAATTTTTAGTATCACCGTGGATAAAATAACCCAGGTCCTTCTCTCCCTCTCTAGCCCTGCCACGGGATATCTAGCAGGCTTGCAGACAAGCTGCATTTGTGCTAAAATGGAACAATTTATAGGGCTGGATAGGTCAAAGTGAAACACTTCCAAGCAACAGGAGTGCAAAAAGGCTGAAGGCGGTAAGATACGCCGCCTCCAGCGAGGGATACGCTCGGGAGCTGGCAAGAAGAACTCCGAAAAGCTGGAACTACCTGCAATTACCATGATTTCCCAGTTATTACATAGAATTTGTGAGCCTCAGCGCTGTTATCCCTTTCAGTTCCTACCACATGATGACGGAGAGGAGGCAAGTTTTCAGAGGAGTGAGTTATCTAGGTTTTTTGCAAAAAGAATTGACCTGATCAACAACGACGGTGCCAGGAGCCCTTTGGAATCGCTTTTCATATTCCTGTTTTCTTAATATGAACAGGGAGAGCTACTGTAGAAAACTTGTATCACCTACCAGGGTAAGAAACAGGTTTAAGTTTCCCTTCCTTTCCTCCAAAGTTTTGCTGGCCAAACCCTTTTGGGCTGATAGTTTCACATGTATTCACAGATATTTAAAAAAAAAAAAAAAAAAAAAAAAACACAAAAAAAATAACCAGCTTCTTCTATCAACAAATACAAACCAAGCGATGGAATTCTGACTTCAGTCATTTCCCTTTCGTTCCTAACAGAGCTCTCGAGCAGCACTGGCCTGAGAGACCCGGCCATGAGCTCGCTCCAGCGGCGCTGGGGAGTTTCCAAGACTGTATCCTGACAGAACATTGCTCCCAGCTCCGATAATTCACAGTCACTAAAGCTCAGTGACAAGGTTAGGAGATACCCAGAACAGCGCGGAAGGCACCACTGCTGTATTTTTATTATTATTATTATTATTATTTAAAAAATTTTTCTTCTTATTCCAAGTGCTAGTTTTGGCAGGTGGAGAGATAAACAGAAGCAACTGAGCTCCATCAAGCTGCTGCTTCACAACAGTGCCAGGTTTGGGATTTTTACACACCCTTTGTACGAATCACCTGCCTGCTACTGAAGTCACTTTGGGCTTTTTAACACCTTTTAGCAAAGTTCTACTTCAGCTGCTCTGGGAAACAGGCTTTGGTCGACTGTCAGTAACTTACCATTCACAGAAACTTCTTTCACTCCCATTCAATGGACAAAAATCTGATGCCACAAGATAAGATTTTGCTGAAAGTGAGACAGCGAGCTCCTCAGATCATCATTTTCAGGAATTCGAGGCACGATACTATTTTGGTTTTTTTTTTAACATTATGTTTTATGCTACGTATTAAAAAGCAACACAACTGCACTTCAAAGAAAACCCAGAACTTCCAGTCTACTTCTCTCAAGTCAGTGAGGAAACTATCTGAATATCTTCTGCCTGGGAAATCTGACTACCACAACGGCTTCTCCACCTCTTGAGGGTTGCTTATAGCCTGTAAAAGGACCTGCATTACACCTGCTTGTATAATACTCACTATATGTAGCTTCTAGGTATAGTCTATCACTTATATAATCTTTACAGCCTGCAAGTTAAGATTCCTGGCATGGTAATCGCAGCTATTTGGTTACTCACCCAATGGGTCTGCTCCAACGGATGCACCATCTGCCCCGTTAACATGCCAAATCATCAAGTAAACATCGGTTTAGGAGCTGGGCAGAAAAACCTGTTATTTTTTCAGCGCTGAATCTGGTAAATTCTCCGTTTCTGGGAAGCACTGAAACACTTTATGAGCTTGCTGTTCGCAAAGTTTGCAATTTTCAATCCATCAAAGCTGAAAACATTTAAACAAAGGAAAGCCTGCAGCCCTGTCAACCCAACTAAAGCAGCTTGGTTTGTAAAGAGATTTGTTTTCCCCCCTGCCCCCACCCCAGTCTGCAGCCTCCCAAGTGATTTTCAAGTAGCTTAAAGCGCAATAAACACAAACAGACCTCCAACTACCACCTGTATAAAAACACAACGGTTATTCTACAAAAAAGGCCGGGGTAGACTAATAAATATGCTGTAACTCGGCTTAGAAAATGATCTCTACTTATAAATATAGTATTTTTCTTTATTCTTCCCTGCATTTGCCTTATCTTTTGCACTGCACCCTTCCGCCGCTGCACGCCAACGCAGCGACTCCCACCCTCCGCGCCCAGACACCCGCAAACTCCCGCAACCCATTTCCATCTCTTCGGTCACCTATTCTGGACTCGCGTCCTTCCAAGTCCTCCCATCCCATTTTTTTTTTTTTTTTTTTTTTTTCCACTTGGCTCTCTTGGAGCAGATTTAAGAGTATGAGAAAGCTGTCCTCTGTTGCAAACCTAAGCGCGCGGACCCGGCAAAGCTGCGGCGGTAACTCGGAGGCGCTCTCGGCACAGCAGAGTTTACAGTTACCCAGAGAAAAAGAAGAATAGTTGCCTTGAGGAGGGGAGAATATTTTTTGCTAACGGTAAGAAGCTGTCTTAAAAAATATAGTTTCTCTCTCTTCCCACACATTATACCCTCTCCTTTATAAACTATTTCCCTGCAGCATCAAAATCCCCCTCCATAATTTTTCCCCGTAACGCTCCAATCCCTGCTTGGATTATTGGCAGCACAAGCGATGCTGCACAATTCCCTGATCATTTTTTTTGTTTTTGTTTTTGTTTTTTTTTTTTCCAAATTAAATGCCCTACTTCCTCCCCTCAAACCCAAACCACACTCACACAACCCCCCCGCCTCCCCCAGCCACTGTCTCAGTGATTCAGTCGGGACGGATTCACAGCGTTAAGTTTTTCGTAAGAGGCCGCATAAAATCTTTTGTATCTCTGCCTTCGAAAACACCCGGTCCCTGATGAAGGTTAAGAATTATAAAGGATTCTGTGGAAAAACGGCACGGACCTAGAAAACCACCCACCTCCGTTTTAATTTTAGCATCCAGTGTATGCAGACAATCGGTTCTTTCCCTCGTTTTTTTTTTTTTTTTTAAAAAAAATAAAGCTACTCTCCTCTATTCAATATCCTGATCGCACAAAACATAAAGATGAGGGCTGGGGGAAAAGAAGAGGTGGGAGAGTTTTCCACGAAGACGGCACCGTGTCAAGAAGAATCATTCCAGCACAAGAGCCTCACTGAAACACAGCTTGGGAGTTTGAAACCAGTTCTTTGGAGAAAAGCGCACAATCCCAATAAAACAACGGAACTTCGCTTCTGGGCGTGGCTCGGCGGAGCCGGCTTGAATTTGGTGGTAGGTCAGCTGTATTCTGAGGAAATATTTTCACTGCTTCTCCCAGTTTTGAAGGCGACGTTTAGCAGGCACACTTCTTCTCCTCCGGTTTTGCCGAACCTAGCTTTCCCGAGCTCCCGCCGTTGGCTGGGTCGGAAACTTGGGTCTTGTCCACGCATTGCTCCATACGCTTCATTATCAAGTCCAGAAGCGTGTCCACAGCTCTCTCCACGTTCTGTCCAGTAGCAGCACTTGTTTCGAAGTACGGTATGCTACGGCGAAAAGGGAAAGGTTTGCTGGAGGGATTTTTAAGACAACCAAGCCTCGAGTCTTTTGTAACTCTCGGTGCGGCTAGCAACAGCGGGTTTAGTGGTAAGACTGGACTTTTGGTTTTCAGGACGTGCTGGGCACAACCCAAACTCCTCTGCCTAGCACGCAGGGGCGTGACAGCATGAGCGCAAAACCGCCACGGTCAGTTATCACAATGTAGCCTGGCATGTTGACTTCAAATTGCAATAACATCAGCACAAAGCTTGGCTGAAAAAGTCTTTCAAGTAACCAGAAGGTCTGCTTTAAAAAGAGAAACCCAGGTCTGCATTACAGAACATTTCAGTGACCACAGGAACATACCAGAAACCCTTTTTTTTTTTATACAACTATTACCATTCCCTGTAAGTACTATCTCCCTCCCTTCCTTCCCACTTGTAAGCACAACTGAACTCAGCTGTTGCCATTCTGAAATCCCCTTTGAATCCAGAATACTGCCTTCCAAGTCATCTTTTCCAGAAGAGAATGTTATAAATTGCTTCAGCACTTCCACCATATGAAAGCTGACACGAGCTAACTTCTCCTCAGTATCGCTGTTCTCCTTACACGGCTGCAGACAACTCCTTAATGATTATTCTTTTACTATTCTGAAGTCTGATTATTCCTCACAGCCTCCCAAGCTATCTTCTGCTGCTGGCCCAAATCTCTCTGAACATCCCTCACTGTCCACTAAGGGTAACTCAGCTAAAAAAAAAAAAAAAACCACCACACTCTTTTTGCCCACAGCACTATTTCCTAACTATATTACGCAGCAAATTTATCCAGTTACAGGACATTCTGTGGGTGTTATTAGCACAGAGAAATGCAGAAGGCTCACTAGAACAAGAAAAAGGCCATTAACAGCTTTATTAGCCGTAGGGGAAAACGGAAGAGACTCAGTGCCACTGTACGTTTAGAACCTGACTAAAATCCACAAGTGTCTCCACTTCCAAACTGACTTGAAAAGTGATTTATAAGTATCATTAGTTATTTAGTTTGTGCAACTGAGCATGCATCTGCCTTTGCTGTGCTCTGTCCTGAACTCCCAGGACAAAGCAACACCCCAAGAATGTAATTTTCCAGTAAGAATGTTTCAGTTTCATATCAGCCTTATTTCTCCTATCATAGTATTTTGGCCAAACTACTAGAACAGGGTGTTTCATTCTACCTATTTTCTCTTCAAACAGGTCGATCTGAAAGTGTGGCAAGTTGGATCTTTCTACAGGTGGATGTGATACTGCAATGCCTGCAAATCTTACGAGTTTAAATATCTCTAGCCAGTCATCAGCTACACTTACAACCGTTCCAGACTACATTTAACTTTGATCATAATTTGCTTACCCATATTTGTCTGCCAGATCTTTTGCTTGCCTTTCGTTTACCTCTCTTTGGTCTGATAAATCAGCTTTATTACCGATTAAGACTATATCTGGATTCTCACAATATGCATTGGCTTGCAGCTGACCTAGAAGCAAAAATAAACAGGAGTTAAGAGAATGTTGGTAGCACCTTAGAGACCAAGACCATTGACAAAATTATTCAAAATACCTTTCTTGCTCTCCACCTCAAAAAAATCTTAGACTAACCAGCCAGCCACTTCATGCCAAACACATTTCCTTGTTGTACATTTACTGGTGAAGGGGAATTTTTCAAAATAAAAAGTAGAAATGCTACTAGAAAATTATTTCCAGCATTTATTTTACTGACACACGAGACTTAACTGCAATGAGGGGCACTAAACACAGCCCTTTAGCAGAGATGAACCTCCACTGGGCAGAATTTTGCAAGACTCAGAAGGGCATTGTGGAAGTACAAACAACATCCCACGTCATCGGCACATGCAGCTCTTCAGAAATTTACGATAAAATCCTCAAGAGGGTTTTTCTCATGGGTATGCTCAACAGTTTAAATGCAGGTTTTATCCATCTGAAGATCCAGGCATGAGTACTGTCCACAGCCTCACCCCTCGTAAGTAATTGCAGAAAGCCATTTACTTAGATTTGCTTCAATCCTGAGGGGGCTGACTTGAAAAGGTGCAGTGTGCACAGAAGAAACTAGAAGTCCAGCTTGGCACTCGGTGGGAGATGGTGATGACAGGGATCGCTTAGTGGGAGGAAGGAATCTCTGAAGAAGAGGGAGCTGTTTTCACAAAGCTATCTGGATTCTCACATCATCCCCACTTCAGCTTGTTTGCTGGAAAACTGCCAGCAGGAAATGCACTGGCCTCTGTCCTTCCAGCACTCTAAATACCCTCAATTAAAAACAAACTTTAAGTATTTAACATTTGCTTTACTTTTAGTCTAGCCGTCGTCTGAAGAAAAACCACCAGCAGCAAACGCTATGTGCTTTCAACCCAAATCCTCAAAGCTCAATCTTAATTTAAACCTCAAAGCAGACAGGAGGGAATCACATTTTGCTTTACGAATAGAAAACACGCCATAAAGACAAGAGCTGGATCCAAAGTACAGTTACCAAGCTCCTGTATATCATTTAAAATATGGGGTATGGCCAAGGAAGCGTCGAATGTCATGAATTTTCAAGAAGCGACACATTTATTCGAATTGTACCAAATCCAAACAAGAGTATCAAGAATATGCCCAAACCAGTTTATCGTGGGAAAAAAAAAAAAAAAAAAAAAAAAAAAGAGCATGCATCTTTCCAATTTGATGAAGCTTTCACCCCAAATTGCAAGCTGCAAGTACCCCGCTTATGGCTGCACTAGACATAACTGCTTTCTCTGAGCATTTTCCAGCTCATACACAGTGACACGCATAGAGCCTAGAAGCCTAAAATACACAAGAAAGCTTCAAGTCAACCGATAAATGCGAGCTCTACAGTTCTACTTACTCATCCAATTTCGGACATTTAAGAAGCTCTGTTGACTGGTGAGATCAAACATTAGTAAAAAGCCCATAGCATCTCTGAAAAACGCTGTGGTGAGACTTCGAAACCTGAAGGTGGAAGAAAAAAGACAACATAGCTCTATTAATACAAAGTGATCTCTAAGGTAAGCACTTCTCCGGCAAGCCTGAACTGACTCAAGGAAAAACAAGTACAGCTTTTCTGAATTGCTCGTGCAAAAATGCTCTTTAACAAATACCTTGAAGTCTGAAGACTCTGCAAGAGTTAGTGGACATACAATCCCTCGGAAGTAAAAACAAAGTAAAATAATCCTTGACTTTCATTTTAGCTATGATGCATGACACCAGCCAACATTTATTAATCACTGTGTTAGTAATTTATATGTGAGAATATAAACGTTGTCAGTGACTAATCCATTAGTTCAAGTTCTGTATGAATTAACCAAGAGCGAGACAGAGAAGGGTTGGTTGAAAGTAAAAAAAAAAAAAAAAAAAAAAATTTATATACTGAAGCATTTACTCTATCACAAAACACAGTGATAGAAATGGATTCACCTGCTGACATCCCAACATCCTTAGCTGATGAATGAGCACTACTCGATATTAAAGAAAACAAAGGAAGAGTAGGGGGCTGTTTATATGCCTTGGATTGTTTGAGGTGATGATCTGCTGGGAAGCTCAGCTAAAAGGAGCAGGTAACATTTGTTTGCAGAGGTCTCGACACGCGTGCGCTCCGTAAGCAGACGTTAAGTGAGTGTGTGCTCACAAGGGATGCTGTTCACAGGCTTCCTGCAAAGCCGCCGAGCTGCATGAAACTACAAACCATGAAACGTAACCCTGTCTGCCGCCAAACGGCCACAAGCCTGTTCAAATCGGAACCGTGAAGGAAGTCCAAATAATAAAATGTTCAGACAGGGCTGGAGGACTGCGCGGTGGCACTCTGGTGTTTCCTAGATCACAAAAGCAGCGCTGGAGAATCTCGCACAAACCAGAAATGGTAACTGATATTTTATACCACACGTCCTTGAAAATTCAAAAAAAAACATTTCTGTCAGATACCTGACACTACTTTTAGGGTTTCTTTTCAGGCTTAAAAAAAAAAAAAAAAAAAAAGCAGCCTCAAAATGTTTAATCTCTTGCGGAGGGGTATACACAAACAGGGAAAGAGATACAGGCACAAAATTTCAGCTTTTTTCTGCTTTTCATCCAGCAGCAACCCCTCCCACACGGTATTTGCGCTGCTTACTCTGGAAACCTGAGATGTGCCTCATCACTACTTCCCTTCCTCACCACTGGGCAATCGCTTCGGTCTGCTGCTCTTTGGTCCCTACTACACAGCAAAGAGGTGAAAGTCGTGTTTTCTTCTCTCGTTGACAGATGTCAACCTGAGGGCAACCTCACACACTTTACGACAGCAAAAGCCACTGTACTTAACTAGCCAGGGGAAGCTCAAGCAAGCAGTACGCACGCTTCTCCCTTTAAAAAAAAAAAAAAAATCTAATAGGATCAAATTTAATAGTGACAAGTCAAGAAGGTCTGTGGGAAGAACAAACAAGATGGGGAACAAGTGGTTAGATAAAAGAATCCTTCTGTGAAGGAAGGCATCAGGACCTCGTCCACCTGAGAGAGCACAGACCAAAAACGACCTGCTCAAGGGCTTAACCTCTCCCACGGCCAACATTTGTGTCTTCCTACCTAGCTGGGATATCCTTGGTGCTGCTTGTGACTGCTGCCTCTTGCCTTTTGGCTGTGAGCCTGAATCTGGCTTTCTCCTCTCCCCACTGGGTAAATGAAGACAGCAATTAGCCTCCCGTTAAGTTTTCCCACCTTCAGGCTGAACACACACAGCCCCCTCAGCCCTCACCAGATCACCTCACGCCTCTGCCTCCTGCCTTGTTCTGATGATATTCCACAGGACTTCAGTTTTTCACTACAAAGGCTCCCACAGAGGGAAACGTTACACCAGATGTGGCCTCACGAGCCCTGCACGAAGGGGAATAACCGCTTCCCTCAGCCTGACGTGGGTGCTAACGCAGTCCCGTATCAGCACCTTGATCAAATGCGCCCTTACCATCCAGCCTAACAGAAAAGATTTGAAATGTGAAAACAGGATAGTTAGGTAGATGATAGAGTATCTTCTGGAGGAGATTAAGAACATATTACAGTGCCAAAAACCAGTACAAAACAAAACAAAACAAGCTAAGTAACGACCTGACAACTCACGCGCGCCAGAAATAAGGCAGCATGGCAGGGAGCAGGCCACCTTCAGTTCTTCCAGTCCTATTTTCTGGAATCCTCTGATCACTGCATGAAAGCAGTGTCAGACAAAACTTTATTTCTGGAAGATATTTTTCTTGTCCTAAACCACCAGGATTCCTGACATTTTTCACCTGAATGGTTTACCCAGAACCGCGAAAAATTTAGAATTGCTTTCCAATGAGCTGAACCCCGTTACCTTTCCTGTCCGGCTGTGTCCCAAAGCTGGAGATGTACTTTGAAGGCTTTTCCTGAAGATCCATTTGGTCCTCTGCTGTTGTAGACCTAATGAGAGAGTCGGATTAGCACAGCCACACAGCTCCCACAAAAATCCCTCGCGTGGGTCGCACGCTGTTACATTTTGTGCAAGCAACAGGTAAGGAGGGAAAGTTCAGTCCTTTAGTAAAAGCTGACTCTTACCTCTAAAAGCCACTTCAGAGGGCTGCTTACAATATTTAAAAACCCAGGAGCCACATGAAACATCTATGAAAGCTGCACTTTAATCTGGTCATATTCAGTACTTCGAATTAGATACCAAGACTTTAAAACTTGGCATAGCACTGTGCTGAGCAAGCTGTCTCTGCTCTGTTTCACTGCTGTTCTTAGAAAATTTACAGCTGGCTGACAGGATTAACCACTATTATAAAAAGCTATTCTTTATTCATTAACTTCTGTTGGACATTAATGACTTCCTTACTAACTGCAACTGCAAACTCTTGGTGCTTAAAGAAATCACTGTGACCTTTCCCTGTGACTCCCTTCTTTATTAAACAGCAACAGCGTGTAAATTAGCTGTTGCAGTAAAAGGCAGAGGGATAAAGTAAGTATGACCCGGTTTTGTTATCTGAGGTAGCTTAGCAGACTCTTACCAATTTCAAAAGCAGGCAAATATTGCCCTTGTGTCTAAATCAAGAGAAGTTATGGACATCTCTGTACCCGGAGGCTGCACTGATCTTACTGGGGGAAGCAGAACGCTTCCTCACCCGCCCCTCCCCGGGTTGCAAAATCCAGCGTTCAGTCCTCCTGCACAACCAAGTTAATAGTAATTGGAGGTTGGACTAAATGACCTCTGGAGGTCCATTCCAGCCCAGGCTATTCTGTGATTCTGATATTTAAACTGTTGTCATTTCAACGGGTAGCTTCTGACTGCAACGTGCCTTTCGTTCTTTTGGGGCAGGTGCCTGATCTGAAAACCAGAAAAGAATCAACGGATCAACTGCACCACAATGTTTATAAACTGTCCCTGCTTTGCTGGAGCATGCTCCTGTAATATTCAGCATGATAAACAGGGACTCTCACGGGGTCACTTTTTAATATGACTTTTATACAACTGAAAACCACATATTTAACCTTATGGATCTCTTTCTTAGAAGACAATTTATTAGACAGACCTTCAAGGTATTTCAAAGCTGGTAAGACGGAGTTTCTCTCACGCTAACAAACTACCTTAACCTCAAAATGTACAGTAATGGAAAATTATGGAAGAAATCTGCCTGCAACCTTTAACAGAAAAGTTCAACCCTCTGGAACAAATCCAGCACCCGTGTTCAAAACACATTAATGAGCATCTGACCAGCCAGGGAAAGAGTATTCCGGTAATTTGCATGTTTAGACATTTCCTTGCAATAAAATGGTGCTTTTAATATTTTACCCTTATTACCTCACTGCAATCCCAAAGTGCAGAGAAGGAGCCAGGTTGCACTGCAACCTGAACCCGGCCTCCACTTCACTGGCCTGAACCTGCTGCTTATGAGTAATTTAAGACAAAATCCAGATCTTTTCGTGGTATTCTAGTGAAAGAACGGGAGTTTAAAAGCAGGTGAAATGACAACAGGTGAACAACTTCCCTTCTATTGCCAAGACGTCTGTTTTCATTCAACTGCTTCAAAACTGGGAAATGGTGTAATAACAATGACTAATAAATACTGCAAATGCCTTTTTAGTTCTTACACTAACCCGACGAAGGGCTGAGAAGGACTTAGTTTTGTTGAAAGGGAATAGTTTGGTCAGCACTCGAGCTCTCGGGTACGAGGAAGAGCTCACCAGGTGCTCCCCTCTCCGGGCTGAAAAGCTCTTCACAAGCAGCGGTTCTTCTGCCGGCTTCCTCATCTCTGCACTTTCAACACTCCCAGGGCCGTTTCATGCATCACTTTTGAAGTATTTCATTTAAGTTAAAAAGAAGCCCATTTAAAGAGGTCTCCATCTTTGAAGCGGGCAGGTATTTACATTTCTTTTTATTAAAGAAGTGACTAAAATAATTGCCCATGGTCTAATATCTTGTATTTATTATGGTTTTACTGATCAAGCAAGCTAGAAGGATTCCTATCAGAAAGCTGAATTCGTCCCCTGCGTTTAGCCTGTAGCAGTTGTCAGGATCTGTGAACAGATGCATTAGTCACTTTAAATTAAAACAAAGCAACAGTGCTCTCGTAGCCACAAAAAGCATCTGACTGACACTAGAGAAAACATTCACCTTCTGTTTAACATCAAGAAACAAAAGCAGCGTGCTTCCGCTGGTGGAATCACTTCTCGTGCCTTCCCTAGTTTACTGAGTGACCTGGAATTAAGCTGAAATTTTCTGGGCTTCTCTAAGTTTCCATCTCTTCTATTTAAATTATGAGTTTGGGGGCCAGAGCTCTTTTTAGTCAAGCACACCTCATTTGCTAGCACGATGGAAAGCTGCTCTTGGAAAGATCACAATAAGAGAGGCAGTTCACACTTACAGAAAATTTATTCTCAGCAGAAAGGAAGAAAGAAAAAAAGAAGGTGGTATCCTTCATGTGAGACAACTTACCACTCGTTTTTCCCGAAAATCTATCCCTACTGTCGTGATGAATTTTGGATTAAATTTGTTATCGGTGTATCTGTAGAGGAACGTTGTTTTTCCAACCCCAGAGTCTCCAAGGGCCAGGAGTTTGATCAGATAATCATAGTCTCCATCAGTCATAGTGCTAATTTTTAGGAACCTACGTAAAAAGGAGGAGAAAAAAAAAAAAAAGAGAGAAAAAAAGGTTTAACGATAACAAAAGCCCCTTTCTGCCTGGGTTTGCCTCATTTCTATTTTTGCTCATGGAAATGCTGCTGCCTGTACTCCGGGTTGAAAGTTATGCTCATGGACTTTGAAAAACGCTAACGCAAAGCAGCAGTGAAACTCTCCATTTCAGTTCAGGTGCCAGGAGATAACACAACTTAGACTTCCAATTTTCTAAATAAATCAAATCGAGGCGTAGAGTGATAGAGAGTTTGGGACAAAAAGATTATTTTTGTTCTGAGGAAGACCTACAGTGAACGTAGGTGTGAAACCTAGGGTTAAATCCTTCTGCTCTAAATATTTTGTGTTTGCAAAAAAAAAAAAAAAAAAAGGGTGTTTCAGAAGGAGGAGTGAAAAGGCAACTCAAACACAGGAAGGACCATTCTCAGGGCTCAAGCTCTTAACCAGTATACATGCCTTTATTAGGGATAGTAGTTATTTCTATATCTATATTACTATCAGGATAGTATTTCTATCCTGAAAAAAATATTTTGCCCCCTAAGAGAACTAATTAAAAAAGCAGAGGAATCAAGGGCCACTGTTAATAAAGGGAAAGCACTCAAATGCAGTTTACTCTCTACTATTTCCAGACTATATCCCCAGCTGCCTTGTTCCAGGAAGCACACAACCAAACCCACCCCCTCATCAAACCCTGGAGATACTAATTGGAGGGAAGAAGGAAAAGCAGATGGTGAGCTGGGTTTAGCTCCCTGCTTTGCTTAAGCTGCTGCTGGGACTGCGAGTGGGAGCATCTCCCGTGGCCACTCGAGAGGGACCGACGGCCTGAGAAGCCACCACCACTTTACGACACGCCTTGACAGCAGTTGTAGGCTCTTTTCTATACGTAGCAGTGGAGCAGAGCAGCAAAGAGAAGGAAAATATTTATCCTATTTACCCCGGCTGCCTCACAGCCCAGGCAGGAGCTCCCGGAGCAAAGCGCAGGTCGCAGAAATGATTTCCATGGGGTTTTCACAGCCCCCATGCACCAGTTGCTGTTTTTTTTCCAATCTGCTGAGTCAAGTGACGTGACATAAAAAAAAAATAATAATAGAAATAAAAATAAAAACACACCATGGAGAGCCAGCTTGAGCAGAGAACCTGCACAAAATTACTGCCCAGCCTGGCCAAGCCTCCACCCAGAGGAGGAGCATCCTTTCTCCAACCAGGCTGCTTCCCCAGCAGGTTTTTTATTATTTCCAAGTTCAAGGGGAGTGTTGTGTTACCCTACTAAACTGTATATACTTTGTTAGGATTTCCTATGAAGCTCTACAGGAGAAGGAAAGAGGACCTATGTGAAAAATAGACCTACAAAGTTAGTTATTCACACGTGTGAAACGCCCTGATGGTGAGAAAACTGGAGTCACGATGAAACACCGCCTAGTTTACATCCTCTCTTACCTTGTTCTCAGTGTAATTTAAGCCTTCTCTTTTTCCCAACATCTTGTTAATCCTCATCACGGATAAACAGCCGTTCCATTCGGATCTCTATGCTGAGACTAATTACTGTGGTATCTGAGCAGGAGACCCTGGGCCATATCCCATTCATAAAAACTACGGCTTGTTTCAGTACAAGCCCTTCATTTCCATCAGAATAAAATCTACCTTTCTGAGGATTTAAATTAGCAAGTACTGACCTGCTTTGACTAAAATAACGAACTAAGCCCGTTTTGATTATCCCACATTTCAACAGCGGTAAGGATAAAAAAACCTGGCTGCGTACTGAGCAGTTTCATTGTATAAAATTTATACCTTTGACAGATACAGAGCCACCCAGAGAGATGGGACAAGCTTTTGTGAAATCCATTGTCTGATGACAAAGTTTTAACGAATCTAGAGAAAAAAAGCCCCTGATCTGACAGCGCTGCTCTGCCTTGTATTGACTTCGGTCTGTGCTGGGCAGACTTCACAGAAATTAATTCAAGTTTGAGGATTATCAAAATCGAAGTATTTCTGATCAAGGCAGTAACTGTTCTTTAGGCATTTCGTTCAACAAACCAGAAAAAGAAAGGTACCTTGGGAGGCGATTCTCCTCCAAATGCTTGACTGGTAACAGAAAGGATTAATTTGGGATTAGCCACTGCTCCCAAATATCCATGTCCAGCATCTCCTTGCTATGCAAATGTGCAAAGCAGAATATTCAGAATTTACCAGGCCTGTAAACATAATATACATCAGACTAGGATAATGAAAAACCTCTTTTTGTAAATCTGTCACGAGAAGGCAGTTGGCACTCCATTTCCCAGCGGCGCACGGAGGCAGCCTGGGAATGGGTGACTTTTGGTAACATTACTCTGACTTTCCTCATTCTCTTTACCATGTAAGAAAGTACAATAGCAATTGTATATTTCTTCCTTCGGATTTTAACCAGAAGCCGCTGGTTTTCCTCCCCTTGACCAGCTATATGATGGAGATGGGAGGAGCACGCTTCACGAAATCCTGGCTGCAGGGAGAACTTCACAGAGCAGACTGATCCACTGCCACGACTGCTTGACCACTTCCAAAATGCTGTAAGTTCTCCTTCCACAGGAAATGTAATCGTTAAGAATTTAATTTCATTTAGAATGAGTTAAAATTACTGCTGATTACTAATAATCAGATAAACATCTAAGCGTGCTTTTAAACATGTCTGTAATTAACTGGATTTGAAAATTCTGATGGTTTCATTTTGTTTCATGACAAATGTTAACTTAAACAGTGTGTACAAGTGAAGTATAAAAATCATACACCTTATCTGAAACAACGCCAGGTTCTTCAGCGGAGGAGGTCTGGGGTTCTTAAAGAAGAGAGACTTAATTTCAAGAGAATTTCTTCTAGCAAAAATCTGAAGAACACTCCAGAATTTTCTATTAAGAGGTTAACAGCAAGGCATTTGAATAAAAGTGCAATATACGTTATCCAACTCCAATTTTAAATGGCTCAATATATTGAGCTACTGAAAAGCAACACCCTTGGGATGCAACACAGAAGTCTTACATTGCTAAAACAAAGCAACTCAAACACTTCTGTGAGGACATTGAAAAAACACCCCCGGGGCCTGGAACCTTAACGTTGGAGTCCTCACCATCCTGCGAGCATTTAAGTGGACTTGAAGTTGCAATACCAGCGGCGGTGACTCGTTTTGCCGCGGCAAACCTGCGGTCGGAGCAGCCAGAACCGCCACGGTCTCACCCCCCGCAACCCCCCACGCAGACCAAACCCCAACTTTCCCACTCAACGAACGCAATCTCACCCTCCAGCTCTGCAGCCTGTGATGCTTCGTTAATACCATGGTACTAATTAAGCTTTGTAAAAACCCATACGGGTCTCCTGACCGTCCCTACCAACCTCCTCTGCCAACATGGCCAACGGCCAGAGGATGATAAACGTGACGTTTTGATGCTGTTCTTCCAGGCTGTGCATCTAGACTGAGCCTGATTTAAAGAAAAAAAAAAAAACAACACTCTTCTGCTTTCTTGGCAGACAAGATTCTCATCTAGACCAGAAGCAGCATCTTGTTTCTTGATTGATTATTTTGGTCCATCCCTATTTAATGTTCTCTAACTGCAGCGTGAGAGATCATTTAAAATCTGGCACTTGTCAGCAGATTCTCCAGAGAACGCTTTCTCGATAGAGAGATACGGCTTCAGATAAACCAACCAAACCTTAAGATGTTCATTTATAGCCTGGAGGGAGAGGAAAATCTACTCCTCAGGCACCGTGCCTTTGCTCTGCGGCTCCGTACCCAAGGCACAAGAGGAAACGCACCGCGGCGCATCCTGCCGCGCCCGGCTCGGCATGCCCAGGGGAGCCTCCCGAATGCAGCCCCTCCAAAAATGCGACCGTGCAAGTAGGAGGGCTCCAGCCTTTTTTTTGCCCATCCATCATTAACCCCTCCACGCGAAGGATCACGGCACGAATCAGCAGCTCGCTCGGAAGGGACGCCGAGCTCCGCTCCAGAAGATCCACCCCAACGCACGGAAAGGGGGATGGGGAGGAGAGAAGTTCTCAGGCTGGTTTTCCTCTTCCATTCGTAGTGTGTTCCTTCAAAACGGGGAGCAAGGCAACTCATTGATATCTAAATCGCTTTGTTAAAAAAAATTTAAAAAAAATTTAAAAAAAATCACTTTTGGCTGGGAACAAACCCTGCAGAAAACTGCATTTCAATTCAGAAACTTCTTCATCTCGAGATGTTCATATGTACAGGAAAAGCAAATTAAGCAGGCTACCTTTCTGCTGAACCTAACCTAAAAACACGGCCTGTCAGTCAGACTTTTAAGCCTCTCAGAATTGGAAAAAGATTGAAACAAATTTTAAAACTTCCAAATTTCTAACTTTGCAGATTTTTAAATTAGTGAAGACTTTCCTAATCAAATAGCCTATCTACTAGGTCTTCCGATAACACATTTTCTCATTAATGGAGAGTTGTTGAAAGGAGTTCAACAATTACATAAGTAGCTAATGGGAATATCATCGAGGAAAAGTTATGTGTGCAATGAGTGAAAAGTCAGTTTCTGAAACTAAGATTATTTCCCTTGACACGCCACAAGTCCAACAAAGAAAAATCATGTATAAATAACATTAGCTCTAGAAAATGCAGGATATAAAATCACAGTGCACATATTGTACCAGCAGCTGGTCAACGAGAGACTCGTTCCCTCTGCAGCAAAATAAATCAGCACCACTACTCTTCATCCAAGCTTCATTTTTTTTTTTTTTTTTAAATGCACGAACAATAAGAAAAAAAAACAAGCAGTGCTGTCTTGAGGGCCAACTCAGGGATGACTTAATGGGGGGCAAACCACACGTATGTAGTAACTGTCACTTACTCAAACCAGCAAACCCTGAGCTGAGCAGGGAAAGGCTTCACGAGCAAGCTCCGCGCTCCTCACCGCAGCCGGCGTTGGGAGACTTCCTGCAACTCTTTGATTTTGCTGCAGGGAGACCGGAGGCCGACTCCTCCAGCACCATTAAAACCTTCACCACTTCCCCTCTTTTTTTTTTTTTTTTTTTTTTTTTTTGACAGCTAGAAATGTCAGCAGCTCCTACGAGTTTGACAGTCAAATAAAATGCGATCCTCTTCCAAGAGCCTAGAGACAGCCTAATAGATCCAATAGCTCCAAAAAGCTACAAACCAACCCCACTCAGCTTTCTCTGGTGCACGGCACGAGCCATCACGCCCTGGGTCATGGGATGACGTGCCAAAGCGCAGGTGAATACTGGACCTCATGAAGATGACCTGCAGAATAACTGTGGCATCATCCTTTCACTCCAAAGATCCCTTCAGGTTCGGCAAGTGGATGCAGGTGACAAGGGCACCTACCATCAAGGCATGGCGTGCGGAGTGATGAGCCCAAAAACCAACTTAGGGTTTAAAAATCCTTTCGCAAGGGTCTGAGAGACAGGGGGGCATCCACCAAGTTTAGCACGGGACCGCCAAGAAGACCTGTCCTCATCCCCAAGCGTTCCACCGCCGTACTGTTAATTTTCTGATCGAGAAAGAGCTGCGTGGAGGCTTCCAACGAAGAAAAGAGCAGAGAGCTAGGCAAAACGGATCTGTGGGAGGACAGGACGCCTGCTAGGTTTCCTGTTAGAGTCACTTCTAGGAGATGAAAAACAAACTGACGGCAGCAGGTTTCTGTTGGAGCCACTATGTAAAGAGAGTTTTGAAATGGGTTATTTCTAGCTCCGTCTCTCCTCCTAAAGGAATCATACAGGCTGTAGCAGAAAGACATCCCGAGACTGACCCGGTCTTTGAAGTTCTTTAGCTCTGTCCTTTGAACAGAAATGCAAAGCTCTGCAACACGAACAGAAAACCTTCCCTGGTCTTCTGCAGGAACACCAGAAAGCTTGCTTTTTTTCTCATCCTCCTAATTCTGACTGGTGTTAATTCTATCCCAGCCACAGCCAGTACAATCAAGAACTAAACTCTGGTCCCCCCTGTCCCTCTCAAACCCCCACAACCTGTTAAGTCTCTTGCTATGGGACAGCATCTCTTGCCAATGGAGCATCCCAAGAAAGAATCCCCCACTGACCAGATTAAAAATATCAAACTCGTTAACACAGCCACGTTAGACACCTCTTCCCTCGCAGAGAGAACATACAGGAACGTCTGCGACACAAAGTGGAATAAAGAATTCCATTGAAGAGTGCATGATCAGAAAGTTGCCTCGTAAATCCTTCCCGAGTAGGAAAAAGAGGCAGGGGAGACAAGAGAAAACTCTGTCCAGTCATCTGAGCATCACGCTCTAATTTAGCTGCAATCATCCGCCAAAAAAGCAGAGCCTCACAGCTGCCAAGTAAATGGCCTGCAATAAGCCAAACGTTTTTGTTTTGTTTTGTTGTTTTTTTGGGTTTTTTTTCCCCCTCAAAAAAGATAAAAATCAAGCAACTCACTGGAGTTATGCTGAGATGAAATGAAAGCTGGCTTCTCTGCTCAAAATCAGACACAGTCATTTCCATATAGGAGCTGTGAGCAACAATACGTAACAAATGTGGCATCAGTGTGAAAGAAATGATCTTTCCTCGTTTTCTTCCTTACAGTGGAAACTCCCAGAGGACCAGACAGATGCTTTCTGGCATGGATGCCTCGCAGCATTTAAGCGCAGACAGTTTCAGGCTTCAGTATGTAAAAGACTCTTGGCAAACCACAGCCACGTACTACTCTCTTTAAGTAACCCTTTTTAATAAAGAAATATATACGGAACATACCGCATTTTAGAAGTTCTTGAAATATGTGGATTTTCAGGCTTCACCCAGTTGAGCACAGGCTGAACATAACTTCACAGGCACTACCACGCTCCTCACTGCTGCATGTGCCCTGCGAAGGAGCCCTCAGGATTTCCACTTGAAATTCCCCTTTGACTCATGAGAAGTGAGCTTTCGCACAAAGAAACCCAGTAAAATCTCAAAATATTGCTTTCTAAATAGATGGGTAAACACCAGACGTTTCCCCAGCTTGAACCCATTCCCATCGCCACACATCCCACAGGTGTTATTCAGAATAAACCAAGCAGCACACTCTCAGTCATCCACGTTTCTATTTACATCCATCCACATTTTTTATTCACCTTTTGGGGTCCTTTTCTCACACGGCGCGCTCTGCTAACCCAAGTCACATTTAAAAATCTTTAAATTTAAAGATTTAAAGAGCGCTGAAGCCCTTCCCTTCCAGACGATGTCGTGTCGCTGCCTAAAAACTCCCTCCCTACATACACGCCCAGAGCAAATATATTTACATTTGTGTGGGCAAGGGAGGAGAGCAGCTAATTCAGTCATCTTCTGTACTACTCAATATGAAAAATACATGCAATACGAAAAAAGAAAAAAAGGCAAAGACCGTGCCCAACCATTACCAGAAACTGTCATTTTTATACCAGAAACTGTTATTGAAAAACTGGTGGGATTTTTTCCTCTACACCAAACACAAGCGACCATAAGCATTTTCTTCTATTTCACCATTTCAAAAACCTGCTTGGTAAGCATAGGAATTAGTTGACCGTGCCTGTATTTAGCACATAAGCCAGTCTAGCACACTTGATCGACTACACAAATATAACTGTGCTACTGAAGAGAAAATAATGATAATTTACAAAATCCCTGCAACACACACAAGCCAGAAAGGGATTTTGCAAAAGGCAGCAAAATCCTGCCACTGTTAAATAACCCAGATGGCAAACACTCTAACCTCACGAGTGCAGGGTCACTTCCCAACACGCTGCAGATTCCAGGAGAGACGCCGAGTAGCTCCCTGCTGACTTGCTGTTCAAACCCTCCAAGTCTCTCTTGCTCTTTCGAAAGCAAGTGAAGCCTACCATTCATTATGTTACTTATCTGTCTGTGTGGCAGGGAAAAAAAAATAAATTCTATGAAAATTTATGAGCTAATATAGTTAGCTGAAAGACATGAAGTGGGCTAGACTTCCCTTTTAACTGCAGAAGCATGGTATCATTATCCATCCTTCATCTCTCCCTGACCTTATCAAATTCATGTTTTGAATCCAAAACTCATCATAAATCTTTTGTAAAACTCCTTTGACAAAGCCCAGCCTTTGCCACCAAGCACACGACTGTTACACTGTTTTTCTGCAGATCTCTATTTAAATTTAGGAACCCTGATATGCTGATGAAGACTCCAAACTGGATGATTACATCTAAAAGACCTGAACGGTTGCCAGCTACTCATGTTTTTTATAACACCACCCTTCTTCTTGCATACATGAATCAATATGTGCAACGAACAGTTATCAACGGAGTAAAGAGCAAGAGGGTGGAGGGAGGAAAGTCAACTCCACAGCTTAGAAAACTTGTCCTGATAGTCGGGGTTGGCCTCCAACAGTATGAAACAGCATCACTCCACTAACCAGTTATGCTGGCTTAGAGTTAAATCAGCTCAAAGGCTGCCCAAAACAGTTTAATTTTGTTACTGTGGATCCTTTCTAATCTCCTGCCCAAAAGTATTTTTGGAAGCAGCAGGGGAACACAGGGCTGACGGTGATCATTAGCCCTCTAATTTATTTCCAAATGAACCCAACCCTGGGTTTTGGAGCATCTTCATAGCTAAGTATCTAATGGAAAGTCTGAATCAAGATTAAGACTAGGAGAACTTCTGGCTTGTGCTGCCTATAATGGGCTGTATGTATGGTAAAGGAGGAAAAAAAAAAAAAAATAAAAGGAACACAGCCATATCAGTTTGGGAATGGACAGAAATCAGGGAGTGGAACCTACTGCTGGCTACAGCACCTTTTACAGCTCGGTGTCCTGGGTTGAGTGAGTGGTGGAGTTTTTTTGGTAGCAGGGGAGGGGGCTATCGGGGTGGCCCCCTGTGAGAAGCTTCTCGAAGCTCCCCCAGCTCCAAGCCAGCTCCACTTCTGTTTGGGAAATTGAGCCCATCAGCTGCGCCTCTGCGATAACGTATTTAAGAAGGGACGTGGTGACGGGCAGTGGGACTGGTGAGGAGGAGTTGCTGCAGCTGCATGAACACCAAGGTCAGTGGAGGAACGGAGGAAGAAAGGAGGGGGGAGGTGTGCCGGAGCAGAGACCCCCCTGTATCCTGTGGGGAGACGGCAGGGCGGCCCCCCCCTGCCACCCATGGAGAGCTACAGTGGAGCAGACATTGATTTGTGGCCTGTTGTTCCTGCTCAGCTGATCAAGGTTCTGTGCCCGAAGAAGGCCGGGGTCTCATGGGAAAAGGCAGCCCCGCTGCTGTAATTCAGTGCTGGGAGGATTGCAGCATGCGGGGGAGTCCCACGCCGGAGCAGCTCGGGAAGGGCTGCAGCCGTGGGAGGGAATCCAGTCGGAGGAAGTTAGTGACCCATGACGGAGCAGTGTGGGGAACGCTGCGGCCCATGGGAGGAATTCAAGTCAGAGAAAGTTTGTAGAGGACTGTCTGCTGTGAGAGGGGGACCACGACGGAGCAGGAGGAACAAGTTCCGGACACTCCCCTCACCGAAGATGAAGGAAGTGGCAGCACTGCCTGCACCCCCCATTCCCTGCCCCTGCGCCACTAGGGGAGGAGGTGGAGATATCGGGAGCAGAGCTGAGCCCGGGAAGGAGGGAGGGGTGGGGGGAAGGTGTTCTCAGGATGTGGCAATGCTTCTCACTGTCCTACTCTGTTATGTGTTGTTAGTGTCTGTAATAAATATATGTTCTTTTTTTTTCTTCCCCTAACGAGTCTGCCTTTTGCTCATGGTCATAAAAGGGGGATTTTTCCCCATCCCAGTCCTATCTCGAACCCCAAGCCTGGCTCTCTGTCCCTTCTCATTGCCTGAAGAGAAGGGGGAGAGAGTCGCTGCGTGGTGGTTGGTTGCCGACCAGGCCTAAACCACGACACTCAGAAACACCGCGGCCACCTCTCCTGTAAAGCTGATGATCCTTCTAAAGAGCTTCCTCCAGAAAAGCACCTACCTCGGCCTTCAATCATTTGCATCACCCTGCAAGGAAACTAAACGGCGAGCACGACGCTGTCGGAGAGGCATCGCCTGCTGGCGACTGCCTGGTTTTGGATCCTGGCACTGCCGACCTGACGGAGAAACGCAACACTCCCGTCGCGAGCAGGCACCGAGGGGAAGGGATCTGCTCTCTGCTGGGCTTCAACAGCAGATCTCAGTCACACCTGACAAAGGCGTACATCGCTTTAGTGACTAAAACACAAAGCTGCTGGGACAGTAGTTTAAGCTGTTGGCTGGCTGCACCCTTGACAGGTCTGTATTTCTAGACATCGCCGCTTTTCTCAAAATCTTGGGGCTAGGTTTTCACTTCTTTTAATACCAAATCTCCCTTAGGATGGCAAACTCATTTTGCTGTATCCCAGGCCTGTGCAACGGCTTTCTGAGAAACACAGGGGCTTTTCCACGGATGAAGCGCAGCTTTACGCAGATCTCTCAAACCCCAAAGGGAAGGAGGCTGCCATCTGCACACTCAGCCTGACCCCAGGGAATGCTACACAGGTAAATACATTTAATTGCACTTCAGCAAAAGCCCTTCTGCAATCCTCAAAGCAGTTTCCCTTTTGCTGTCAGACAGGTACAGAAAGTTTTTGGCGCAACTGAAAATGAATGCCTTTTGTTCCATGTTGCTTAGGACAGGTTTGGAAAGCTCTAACTCTT